GCGGACTGAAAGGTCCCAGGTTAGATTCCGGTCAAGGGCATGTACCTGGGTTGCGGGCACATCCCCAGTAGGAGATGTGCAGGAGGCAGCTGATCGATGTTTCTCTCTCATCGCTGTTTCTAGCTCTCTATCTCTCTCCCTTCCTCTCTGTAAAAAATCAATAAAATATATTTAAAAAAAAATCTTATTTCCTTGCTTTGGATACATAGGAGAATAATAGTTAACATTCCCCCACCCCCCACCCCCCATGCTTCCCACTTGCCAAGTGCTATTCTGAACACAACAACTCTATATTGTTTTATAGATGAATTAACCAAGACACAGAAAGGTTGTTAAGGAACTTGCCTAAGGCCACACAGTGAGTGAGTGATAGAGCCTGCATTTAGCTCAGGTGTCTGGCTGCAGAACCAACACCTATAACCACAACACCTGGCTGCCTCATTCCTGTGTGTCCCAGGAATATAACCCATAAGTAGATGTCACTTAGGGTCTACAATTCCTGCTCCTGGAGTGATAAAAAAGGATCACAACTCCATTCTAACTCTGCTGGTGTTTCCTTCCAGGCCTTGGTCAGAGGCAAACTTTCTGTGTCCATCCTCATTTTCAGCTTGGGGGTCCAGGACTGTTCAACAATGGATGGCGCCTATTCTCAGCTTAGGGCTGAGTGCTGAGTGCTGTCCAGGATTTATCTGCCTCAGAAGTGTGAAAACCTTGCCTGGCCTCTCTCCTCTGAAATTTCCACCTTGGTGCATCAAAATGACTGGGGAAGGGTGTAGTGCAAAAAGGGGAGGTCCCCCTAATATTAGCAGGCCCTAAAATTGAGAGAGGTAAAGTTGGGGTGGTGCTGGTGCACATGGGTCTTGGAGTTGGCCAGAGAAGAGTGAGAACCCTGGCTCGGCCACTTCCTAATTCCTCTCTGAGCTGCACTGTTTCCTCTCTAAATTCCTCTCTGCCACTTCCCAATTCCTCTCTGTGAAATGGGCTGATCATAGTACTTTATTTATTTTTTGATCATAGTACTTAAAATATATATATATTTTTTTTCTTTTTCTTTTTCTTTTTTTTTTTTGTGTGTGGTGGTGGTAGTGGTGGTGGTGGTGGGGGTGGAGTGGTGGGGTGGTGGTGGGGAAAAAATATATATTTTTATTGATTTCAGAGGGGAAGGGAGAGGGGAAAGAGAGAGAAACATCAATGATGAGAGAGAATCATTGATCGGCTGCCTCCTGCATGCCCCCTACTGGGGATTGAGCCCGTAACCCGTGCATGTGCCCTAGACTGGAATTAAACCCAGGACCCTCCAGTCCATAGGCCAACATTCTATCCACTGAGCCAAACTGTCTAGGGCTGATTGTAGTTCTTTTAATTTCAAGAACTCTTGAGAGAAGTAAATGAGACTGCTAGTGCCGTGCCTGGCACACATCCTCATGGGAACTTCGTGAGGATTAAATGAGTACACCCATGTGAAAAGCTAACCACCAAATCAGTCTTATTCTTCTAGACTCTTCTGGGTGACTTAACTTTAAGAACTTTATTTCTACTTCAAAAGTTCTATTTGCTGATTTTCTGCTGAGCACTAGACCTAATGACTTCAATGTTCAACAGGACTTTCCACTTGGAAGACTTAGAAGGTTTGCTCACTTTCTGGACCTTTGTGTATATTTGATAGCTCTGCATAAAAAGCCAGCTGTTATGGAAAAAAAAAAAAGCCTTTTACTTGGTTTGTGTGCTTTGGGTGGCAAAGAATAGAGACTCATTAGGCCAGCGGTTCTCAACCTGTGGGTTGCGACCCCTTTGGGGGTCGAACGACCCTTTCACAGGGGTCTCCTAAGACCATCGGAAAACACATATATAATTACATTATCTTTTTGTGATTAATTACTATGCTTTAATTATGTTCAATTTGTAACAATGAAATTGAGGGTCACCACAACATGAGGAACTGTATTAAAGGGTCGCGGCATTAGGAAGGTTGAGAACCACTGCATTAGGCAGCCTCAAGTTAGAAAAGCTGCAGGAGGCCCTGAATGGGGCCAGGCCAGGCTGGAGTTCCAGCCCTTGACTAGCCCAGCTCTGTTGGCTGGGTTCTCTCTTCCTGCAGGTTCCTGGGCAGCCTCCCCCTGGGAGCAGGCCCCACTCCCGACTACCCAGCTGCCTCTAGGGGATAAGTTGCGTGACTGCATATGAACCCCAAAGTCTTAGGGTGGCTTCCCTTGGAGCACCTGGATCTCAGCCATTTTATGGTGGGGCCCTCAGTGGCACTAGCCTCTCTTCCGTGGAAGCTCATTCCGGAAGCTTTGGCTTTGTGTGCTCCTCCCCGCACCAGCTCAAACACCCTGGGCTTTGTGACGCCTCTCTACCTCATTAGTCATTTCCCTTTTGCTCCATCGCGTCTAAACACAACATACTGTAGTTATTGATGTCCAGAGCTGGTTCTCTAACTAGGCTGTCCGCTGGCCGGGCAGGGAGTGTGTATTATTCACATTTGTGTCACCACCACCGAATGGGCCATCACTACGTTTGCTGAGTGAATGACATATGAGCATCTTCAGCACTTCTTTGTGGGGGTCATTCTCCTCAAGGGAGGTACAGGGGACTCTCACATGAATCAGGCCAGCAGGGTCTGGGGTGGCATTTTATTTTAAAAAATTTAAAGTAAATTAGTTGCTTTTATTTATTTATTATTTTTTAAAATTAGTTGTTTTAAAAATAATATTTTTAGCCCAGCCAGTGTGGTTCAGTGGTTGTTGATCCATGAACCAGGAGTTCTGGATTCGATTCCTGGTCAGGGCACATGCCAAAATCAAACAGCCCCTATGAAAATGATGGAGGTAAACAGAATCACAGGCTGACCAACTGCATAGCCTCCACAATACTCTGGAATAATGAAGTGCTTAGCAAGAACCTTGCAAAGAGAATGAGTTTAGTAAATAATAACGGATAGAAATATAACAAAGGAGAAAAAATTAGCAATTAACTCATCTAAAGACACCCACCACTTAATATTAATATTTTGACACATTTCCTTCCAGACTTTTTTTTCTTAAACAGGCACTAGTCTTATTTTTTAAAAGATACATTTTTATTGATTTCAGAGTGGAAGGGAGAGGGAGAGAGATAGAAACATCAATGATGAGAGTGTTACAGAAAACCAGAGAAGATGGAGATACATTTTTTTTATTACCCGCGGGCCCAGAGGAAAACGTCTCTCAAATTCTGGGCCCCGTCACACAGGAAGTTTCCTGTATTTATACCATTTTACCCTCTTTGTCTCCCAAATATGGGTTTTTTCCCCCGGTTTCCTTTGCAAGTTCTTAAAGGGCCCTATGTGCTGGGGCTTTGAGACCTCAACCAAAGGCTTGGCCTGGTGACAGCACTGATAACTTCGTCTGGGGAAGGTTTAATGGCCTCTCTGAAATGGGAGTAGTCTTATTTTCCTTATTATTTAAGCCAGCAAGCATTACAGAAGCCAAAATGCAGGGTTAAAATTTCAAACAGCAGTTTTTATATAAAATGGATGCTTCAAGAGAATCGTTGATTGGCTGCCTCCTGCATGCCCCCCACTGGGGATCAAGCCAACAACCTGGGCATGTGCCCTTGACCGGAATCGAACCCAGGACCCTTCAGTCCCCAGGTTGATGCTTTATCCACTGAGCCAAACCAGCTAGGGCTTCCTTCCTGTCTTTAGGAAATATTTCCAATACACGAAAAAAAAAATCCAGAAGATAACAGATATCAAACTTCCAAGCCTGCTTTTAAAAAATACATAAAATGGTGAAGATTAGGTAGCTCTACCTCCCAAACCCTTAGGTATTTTATTCCCTATGTGTTATTTTTCTTTACACTATTAGGGTCACACCACATCATTTTCTGTCTTTAAAAATCCTATCTTGAGCATTTCCTCAATATACCAAATATGCCACATGGCTTTTCATGGCTGCATATTACATTGCATGACTGAAACATTAATTCCCTACTGTTGGGCATTTAGGCTATTTCCCAGCAAAAACATATCCGTACACGTCATCTTTCAAAGCACCTGATAATTCCCTTTGGATAAAGTCCTAGAAAGGCCAGAAGGTCAGAGACTGCCTGATGTTGAAGCTCTTTACACCTACTTTTTGCTTTTCCCCCCCAAATAGATCGAAAGGAAGAATGGGAACAGGGAGAAGGTAGGTTAGGATTATTTTTATTTTTTACCTTTGAAAACGTTTTATTAAATTGTAACACACGCCGAGACCGGTTTGGCTCAGTGAATAGAGCGTCGGCCTGCGGACTGAAAGGTCCCAGGTTCGATTCCGGTCAAGGGCATGTACCTGGGTTGCTGGCATATCCCCAGTAGGAGATGTGCAGGAGGCGGCTGATCGATGTTTCTCTCTCATCGATGTTTCTAACTCTCTATTTCTCTCCCATCCTCTCTGTAAAAAATCAATAAAAATAAAAAAAAATAAATTGTAACACACGCATAAAAGTGGACGTAAGCGTACAGCTCCCTGAATCTGCTGCAGCGAACACACCGAGGACCCAGCACTCAGGTCATGAAACAGAACATTCCCCCAGCCCTGGGCCGCCTCACCGCCGGGGCATCACTACTCTCCGAGGGCAAAGGACCACGAAGGAGATGGCGCCTTTGGAACCGTAGTTTATGAATATTTTGGAATAACCTAGACTACGGGAACATAAGCTAAGTCCTGTCTGCAGACGCTGGTCACGCTGAAGTCCGGCGGGGCGACTGACGGCGAAGGGGACGAGTACGGCCGCGATCCCAGGGGTGGGGTGGGGGTGGGGGCGGGGAGGGGTGGGGTGGGGGTGGGGGTGGGGAGGGGTGGGGGCCGCCAGATTCCCGGCGTGCAGCGCGCGGTCCCGGCGTGCACCGCGGCGCTTGAAGGCGGCGGCGCGGTGTGTGGCGCGGTCGGCGGGAGGGAGGCGCGCTTGGCTTGCTGACGGCCGGAGGCGGCGAGGCGGGTCGGCATGGAAGTGTAAGTGACCCGGGGTCCGCCGAGGCCCATGGCGGGGGACGGCTGGGTGCTGGGAGCCGACAGGCGTGGGCTGGGCGACCTCGCGTACGGCCGGGCGGGGAGGGCCCAGGGCCGGGAGGCGGGGCAGAAGGAGACTGGCTCTGCTCCTCTGAACCGCCCCGCACTCCCATCCCGCGCCCGGCGCCCGGCTGCGTGCCTTTCAGCGTGCCTGCTTCCCCGCCTTCTCTGCTGGCGTTCCCGAGTCCAGTGGTCATCCCGGCCCGGGGTCCGGGCCTGGGTTCCGCCCTGCAGGCTCCCGGGGGAGAGAAGGATACGCTCTGCCGGGGCCGCGGGCTCCTGGGAGCCCTGGCTCTGGAGGTGCTCTCCCGGGTGGGGAGGAGCGGGGAGCTCTTCGCCGGAAGGGGCGGGTTTCTGGGAAGGAGACGCGGAGGCTGAGTGTGTGCAGGGGGAGCAGCAGTCGTTCCAACCGTTGAACCCCACATGGCCTTTCCCGTGTTTGCTCGTTGTCCCGCAGGCAAATGGAAGTTTTTACGTGGCTGCTATTAAGTCATAGGCATCACCGACCGTGGGTTTGTCTTTGGCGCTGATCATCGAATGCTCACACTCTACCTTCTTTTGCCTCGTATTTAATGGTTATATGTACTGTTTTTCACACTTAAAAAAAATACACGTACAACATGTGCATGTGCCTGAAGTGAAAGCTTCATGCAACCATACTTTACCCTCTGATACTGTCGGGTCCATCCTACTCAAAGAGAGGAGGCTTTGGCTAGAAATAAAGGACCACGATTTACTGAAGGTTTTTAGAGGTTGCAAACTGGAAAACCTAGAAGTTTTCCCAAGAAGGAAGAAACGTTGAATTCTTATAGTAAAAGTCAGATCCTTGAGAAGTCAGTCCTGCATTCTTAGCGCTGGGATGGGTCCTGCACTGTTACCCAGATGCTACGTGGCCCGCGGATGGTCCTGAGACCTGGGGGTAGTCGGAGGGTTATCTGCCGGTTTGATATATGTCCCAGCACTGATGTTCAAAAACGGGTGTCTGTCAAAGTATTGATGCAAGACTGGAAAGTTCCAAAGTTTAAGTTCTCAGTCTAGTTAAGACAAGAAAAAAAGAATCGTTTCTTCATGCCTCAGCCTTCATAATGTTAATAATTTAGCAGTTTGGTTAAAATTACGTCATTTTATTTTTTCCCTATCTTTACTCTTTCCTCAGTCTCTTCTCATATTTATTTAAACTCGCTGAATGTTGACCCACTGAATTGATTTTGCAATCCTCTGATGGAATTTAATCTGCCACTTGAAAAATATATTACTCTAGCCCGAGCCATTGTGATCCGTTTCCCCTCTTTTTTTGTTGTTGTTATTAATTCTCACCGGAGAGTATTTTTCCATTGATTTTTTTTTTTTTTTTTGAGGGAGTGGAAAAGTGAGGGGAAGACAGAGAAACATCAATATGAGAGAAACACATCGATTGGTTGCCTCCTGCACATGCCCTGGTTGGGGCCTAGGGTCGGGAGGAGCCTGCAACCAAGGTAGGTGCCCTTGACCAGAATCGAACCTGAGACCCTTTGGTCCGCAGGCCACGTTCTGTTCACAGAGCCAAACTGGCTCCGGCAGTTTCCCCCTCGTGACTAACATTTCCTGTCGGCATACAAACCTGCATTAATTTGTCCCCGAATTCGTGTCCACCTACTGCTTCATTTCTGCTTCCTTTCTGCTTCCTGTCACAACAAAACTTCTTAGAAATGTTGTTTATCCCCTCATTCCCTCATTCTGTTGGGCTTTCATCCTCACTAATCTACAGAAAGGGGTCTGGAAGATTCCCCGAGCACTCCATCTTGTCACTGAGACTACTTCTCAGTCTCCTTTCCTAGCTCCCCTTCCTTTCTTTGCTTCTAAATGTTAATGTCTTTTGGACACAGTACTGGGACTCCTTTTCTCCACACTCTCATTACCCATCTATATGCTGATGATTCCTTTTTCTTTCCTTATCCATCCACTAGCCTTCTTCCCTCACCCCTAAAGCCAGTCCATCAGCCAGTCCTGTCATTTCCACCTTCAGAATATATTTGAAATGCAGTTACTTTTCACCATCTCCACTGTTAAATTTTCTAGTTCACCATCTCTGGTCTGGACTAAGCAATAGCCTTTAGCTTTCACTCTTGCCTGTCCCAATTTTATTCTGTTCTCCACATAGCAGCCAGAGTGATCCTGTATAACCTCACATACTCACTAACCATTCTCTTGCCACGTCCTCACCCCCCAAACACACACCTTCCATTGGCAGTCACGTAGTTTCTGTAACCTTCCAAGCCCTTTCCTACCTCAGGACGTTTACATTGCTGTTTCCTTGACCTGGTGTACTTTCCCCCTTGTCCAGTTTTCTTCTTATCCCTTTGATAGCTGACGTTGAATGCCCCTTTTTGATGTTGTGTTTCCTTTCATTCAATCCAAAATAATCCTCTTTTTTGTCTCTCAAACCACTTGGTTTACTTTTCCCTCAGTTACCAGTTATAATAATCCTATATAATAAATCCTATATAACAAAAGGGCAATATGCAAATAGACCAAACTGCAGAACAACCGGAATGCCTGTGGCCCCTCGCCCTGGCTGGCCCTGCCCCCCAGTGGGCACCCCCACCCCTATTGGGGTCAGGGCCGGCCAGCAAACTGCCCATGGCCCCTCCCCCCAGCTGGCCCCGCCCCGATTGGCCCTCCACCCCACCGCCCCAGCCAGCCCTCCCCCAATGGCCCCCATCGAGGCTGGCTGGCTGGACTCTGCCAGTGCATGAATTCGTGCACTGGGCCTCTAGTCTATATATATATATAAAAGCCTAATATGCAAAGTGTCCCCTCTGGAGTTTGACCAACTGGGAGTTTGATCACTTGCTATGATGTGTGCTGACCACCAGGGGGTGGTGAGGAACAAAGGAAGGTCCTGGCTGTCAGCTGGTGCCGGGAGCCGGCCCATCCTTGCTGTTTCAAGGGACCTGGCATATATGGCATACTGTTCTTAATATGTTTTGCTCACCTTCTTGGCACTATGTGTTTTAACCAAGGTCTCTGAGAAAGGTTGTTTCCCCAGGTAGGGATTTTCCCCTGAAGAGGGAATAAAACCTCTTAACTAAGTGCCAGGCGGGTAATTAATCACTTTAACTACGAACAATCATGCTTAAGCTACATAATCTTTACTCCCTGGAATGGAGATAAGAAACGCCCTAACCTTTGAAATAGAGATTGATAGGATTGGAATCAACTGGTATAAATACAGATGTAAGAAGACAGAATGAAGAGAGACGGAACCTAGGCACAGAACCTACACAGAACGTTCTCTAGAGACAGAAGAACTTCGCTGGAGAGAACATGGCAAAAGTTCCTGGACAGAAACTGGCCTCAGAACCTAGAGACAGAACCTAGCGAGAGAACATGGCAAAAGATCCTGGACTGAACCTGACTACAGAAATTGGCAAGAGAACCTGACTAGAACCTGGTGACTGAACCTGGCTGGAGAACCTGGAGAACCTGGCTGGAGAACCTAGCGAGGGAACTTGGCTACAGAACCTGGCTGGAGAACCTGGAGAACCTGGCTGGAGAACCTAGCAAGAGAACATGGACACAGAACCTGGCTGGAGATCCAGACCAGAACTTCGCTGGAGATACAGACCAGAACTTGGCTGGAGATCCTGGCTAGAGATCCTGGCTAGGCTGCTGATCAACTGAACACTGTCTCCTTTTCCTTCCTTCTTCGCCGACTCCGTCCACACCTTTGGGGACCCCTGGACCTGCTGGGGCTGGACCCTGGCAAGCCGGCAGCTGCTAGGGACCCTACCTGTGCACGAATATCATGTACTGGGCCTCTAGTAGTTTTATGTTTGTTGACTTGTTTAGTGCTGTGTCTCCCTCATGAGAGTGCAAGTCTATGAAGGCAGGGGCCAATGTCTATTCACTTAATGCTTAGCATGGCATCCGGCACAGAGTAGGCATTCAGCAAATTCTAGTTGACTGAAGTAATATGATAATACTTCATTAATTTAATAAATATAAATTAATTAGCTAGCTTCTTAATGGCTAGGCATATCGATTTTCTGATTTTTCTAAGTGAAATTGTTTGACTCAAGGGTTTTTTCTCTTATAGCATCCTCTCTTCCCAAGGAGTCTTTGATTTATGAGGCTAATCAAGAATTTTGAAGCTAGCAGTTTATGGGAAAGCTGAGTTTTTCTGAGGTAGACATGTGATTTGGGAATAGAAGGGCCCCTGAAATGGAAAGGTCTGAGGGCCTAGCTTCTAGTTCCTGTCTGGCCTCCAGCATGAGGTATGACTTCTGGCAGTGTGGTCTTTGGGATCTTCAGTAGAACCCTGAGTCTCTGAGAGGGCAAACATACTATACTTCTAGGACCTGGAGCAAGAAGACACGAATGGAAAACTCTGAGTTATTACTAATATTTTTTTTTCCAGTCACTGAGTAAATACCTACTGAGTGAATAATACATAACAGACACTAGAAATTTTTTTAAAGGTGAGGAATATTTATCCTTTTATTTGGTTGAATGACAGATGTTTTTCATTGTTAGAGAATTTAATCTCCCTCTCGTACTTGATAGAATTAATGGACAAAAATGCAGATTTGTGTTACAGTGTAAATCATTTGACCTGGTGGAGGTCTGTGGGACACTATATCTAGTTACTACACAATACACATTCTTTTTAGTGCACAGGGAATAGTCACAAAGATCTACAATTTTCTGGAACATCAAATAATTCCCAGTACATTTCAAAGAATTGAAATAATATACACTATGTTGTCTGATCACAAAGGAATTAAATAAGACATCAGTAACGATTAAATATCCATAAAATTGCTAACTACTTTTTTATTTTTATTGAATTTATTGGGGTGATATTGGTTAATAAAATTATATAGGTTTCAGGTGTACAATTCCATAATACATCATTTGTGTATTCTGTGTTCACCACCCCAAGTCAAGTCTCCTTCCACCCCCAGTTTGAATGATAGAATTTAAGAATAAAATCTTGAGCATCATTTGGAAACTTATTTTCCTCAGGTAAAAGGATACAGAAATTTCATAGCAAAATAAGTATTTATATATTATATATAAGTTATTTGCTCTTTGTTTGTTTAAGGCCTTGGGGTTATTTATATACCTGGAAAGCTTTGTGTTCACTCTTTTATTATTGAATTTATTATACATAGTTATGAAAATGGATGGTATTTATTTCTGTACCACCTTTTTGAGATAGTGTCAGAATTTCCTTCATTTTATAGCTGGAAATACTGAGGTTTAAAGAAGTTAGCTAATAATGTAGGTCCTATAACACTTCAGTAACAGGACTGGAA